GGCGGGCCCCCCGGGGCCAGCCGCTCGCCGTGGGTCGGGGTCACCATCGGCGGCCGCTCGCCGCAGGTCGGGACGGAGGAAGTTAAACTGCGGCAGATGAGGGAGGAAAAAACAAACACGAAATGGGAGAGAAAGGGGAGGAAAAAAAAGGCAAAACAAAGCAAAACCAAAAGCAGCTGCCGTTCTCGCTGCGTTGCTTTTCCCCCCAGCCGTGGGAGGCTGGGGGGCCGCGGTGCCGGGGGGCCACCCTCGCCGCGCACCGGCATAACCAGCACAACGGCGTCGCTGGCACTGGTGGTTAATGCTTAACAACTGGGACAAACAGGTTCCCGCGGTTGGCGGTTCGTCACCGTGGCCGGCGCCCCGGTTACTGCTGGAGCCAGCTGTCCCTTCGCTGGCCCCGGGGTTTTTTTGGGGGGGATCCCTGGGGTTCAATCGTTCCTTGCCGTTCCCCCACCCCGCAGCAATGACCCCCCTGCCCCTTGCTGGCGTTTTGGGGTGCAGGTTCTTGGAAAGGGCTGGGGCGGGGGCTCGGCTGCTCTGTGGAGATTAGGGATCCGCCGGGGCTGGGAGCAGGACGCTCTGTGGGGAGCAAGCTCCCAGAGCCCCACCAAAATACCCTGAATCAAATGTGTCCCTGGCTTGGGGCTGCTCTGAGCCCCCCCCGCAAAAGGCACCCCCAAAGCAGCCGTGTCCCTGCCATGGCGTTGCTCTGAGCACGCCCAAAAATGCCTCAAAGCAAACATGTCCCTGTCATGGGGTTACTCCAAGCACCCCCAAAAATATCTTGAAGCAGATGTGTCCCTGCCCTGGGGCTGCTCCAAGCACCCCCAAAAGCACCTCAAAGCAGATGTGTCCTCAGCATGGGGGCCCCCCAAAAGGGACCCCCAAAGCCGCCGTGTTCCTGGCACCGGCCTGTTCCCACGGCTGTGCTGCCTTGGCTGGCTGAATTCCCACCCTAAATATAAAAGAGGGGAAAAAGGATCGTGCCACATCCGCCGGGCAGGAGCCCAGCGCTGTCGTGGGACCAAGGCAGGTCCCTCCGGCGAGCCGCGGCATCGGCTGCCCGTGCTGCTCTGGTCGTGCTGGGGTTCTGCGGCACCCGAAACCCCCTGGATCCCCCCGCCGCTGGCATTGCTGCTCCCAGCCCTGCTCTGCCTCTGCGGCTCTTCGGTGCTTCCGAGGGATTTGGGGTATCTTGGGCAGATGCAGGGAAACATTTTTGGAGAGAACCGTGTGGAAACGAGTTTTCCAAGGGAATAATTGTTTCCATGCCTGGACAGCAGAGGCACGAACGGAGGGAAATGGCATCTGGAGATTATTTCCCTCCCGATTCTGCTTATCCCGAGGCTTTTGGTTAAAGCGTTATGCTCCCTCTGCTTCTCTTTTTGTGTGCGGTGGCGAGAGGAGGATGAGGAGCCCCTTCCTCCCATCCGAGCCATCCCCCAAATTGGTTTTCCATTCCTTCATTGTCTCTGCAGGGACGCCGCAGAAATATGACCCGACTTTCAAAGGTCCCATTTATGACAGGTAAGGGAAGCCTCTCGGGAGGTGCCGGTTTCGGCAGTGCAGTGGCCCATCCTGTCTCCCCAACGCTCTTCTTCCCGCTGGCAGGGGCTGCACGGACATTATCTGCTGCATCCTGCTGGTCATCGCCATCGTGGGCTATGTGGTGGTGGGTGTCGTGGGTAAGTACCAAGAGGGTCTGTGCCGGTTTTTGCTGTGTTGGCAAGTTTTCGGCAATAGGGAAGACTCGGCTTGTGGCCGGCTCGGCATCTGTGCCGGCAAAACCCTGTGCCGAGGGGCATCGCGTCCTCCTGCTCATCCTGGTGGGGACGGGAGGGTCTCTGCCAGGGGTCTTGCGAGGGGCGGGTGGGGGGAAATAAGGGAGCGAGGGCTGCGGGGGTAACCACAGCCACGTTGTTCTGCTTTCCCCTCCTCAGCCTGGACCCACGGGGACCCCCGGAAGGTGATCTACCCAACCGACAGTCGCGGGCAGTTCTGCGGGCAACAGGGAACCCCCAACGAGTACGTGTCCCGGCTTGCGCCCATCGCTCACTGCCGCCTTGGCATCGCCGGAGAGACCATAACCTTGGGGTGTTGCACCCCGCGGCTCCGGGACGGGCAGCTGGCCCTGCCCGTGCTGCCTGCTCTCTCCTCCGGCTGCGGGGAGCGGCGGAGACCCTGCCCGCTCTTGGGAGGTGCAGAAAAGCATCGTAGCAGCTTGCAGCTGCTGGGTTTTGGGGGGTTGGGATTTTTTGGGGTCCTCCATCCCCCTTCCCGAGCAGGCGGAGGGATGCGGGTGCTGCCCATCGCCCCTCCCAGGGCAGGCGGTTCCGCAAACCGGGCTTTTTTTTTTTCTGCCTTGTTTGCTTTGCAGGAAGAAACCTTTCCTCTTTTACTTCGATATCGTGAAGTGTGCCAGCCCGCTGGTGCTGCTGGAGTTTCAGTGCCCGACCACGCAGGTACCGATCCCGGCTTCGAGGTGCTGCGCCAGGCGCGGCTCCCCGCTGCCGTGCTTCTCCTTGGGGAAGCTCCAGTTTGCGGCGTCCCCGTGGAGGGGGCTCCTGCCTTCATGTACAGCCCCCCCACTCCGTGTCCTCTTCTCCCATCTAGATCTGCGTCAGCAAATGCCCAGACCGGTACCAGACGTACCTGAGCGCCTATGGCTCCCGCACGCCCAGCGAGCTGGAGTACTACCGGCAATTCTGCGTCCCCGAGTTCAAAAACCTGCAGAAGGTGGGTTGCTGGGAGCGTGGTGTCGGCATTCCCCCGCTGGCCCTGGCGATGCCGGTGTTCCCTGGCGCAGTAATTCCTGCCCAAAGCGTTAATGTCCAGCTTGTCTGTCTCCATCCAGGCTCCCATTGAGGTGCTGAAGGACAAAGAGTGCCCAGCCATGATTATCCCCAGCACCCCACGTACGTCCAGAGGGCTAACGAGCTGCGATGAGCCGATTAACAAGCCCACTCACTTTCATCATGGTCAGGGGAAGCGGCTGCTTTGCAGGCTGGCTGTTGGGATTTTCTGGGGGGTGGTCGGAGGCTCCTGTTTGGGGTTTCTGGGCATCCAGTGTAGGTTTGTGACCACGGGGAGGGGGTTTTGGCTCATTTCCCCTGCTAAGGTTTGCAACGCTGAGTTTTCCCCTCCTCTCCCCCAGTGGCGCGGCGATGCTTCCCGGCCATCCGGGCCAAGAAGGGCGTCATCATGGTCGGTAACGAGACCACTTACGACGATGGCCGTGGGCGCCGGAGGAACGTCACTGAGCTTCTGGAAGGGGCCAAGTGAGTCCTCGCAGCCTTCATGCCGGGCAGGTGCCGCGGTTCGCCGGTCACTTCCATCTTTGCCGGGGCAGTCCTGAGAGCGAGCACTTGTGGTGATGATGGCAACATGGCGGGGATGCAACCGTACCTGGGGGAGACTCTTAACGAGCTGCTTTGTTATTGCTGCCTCACCCGGAAGAGAATCGAGTGGTTTTATCTGCCGGCACTTCTGCACCACATTTGTTTAGCTATTTATATTGCAGAAGAGCCTTGAAAGCCCCGTCACAGAGCCCTGGTCCTGTGTTTGCACAAAATCCTGCACCAAAACTCATATCCCGTGTTTGAAATGGCAGCTGGAAGGGAGGATGAAGGGAAAGCAATGGGGTCAGCTTGAAGGAAAACAGTGCTGGGAAATCATCCTCGGTCTTGTTGAATTTTCGTGTTTTCAGGGAGTCTGGCAGAGGGCCGTTTGGCAGGGGAGGACAAGGGGCCATTGAGGCAGCACGAGTGCAGGCAGCGGGCGCGGGCAGAGGCTCGCTGGGGCTGAGCCCAGGCTGATGCTCCTCCGCTTCGTTCCCCCAGCTTCCGCTTCACTCGTGTTTTATTTTTGTGTTGCAGAAAAGCAAACGTGGTCCTGGAAACCAGACAACTGGCTATGAAGATCTTTGAAGATTACACGGTTTCCTGGTACTGGATAATAATGTGAGCAGGGGCCGGGCTACGCTTTAACGGCCATCCCTTCCCGCGGGCAGCTGGACCGGAGCCCATGAGGGCCGATGCTCTGCCATGCCGGCTGCGGGCTTGGTGCCATGCTCAAGCATGAGGCGAAGCTCATGAATTACCAATTTCTTTTCTTTTATTTTTTTTTTTTTTTCCCCTGGCCTTTGCATAGTTTCCATTCAGACAAAACAAGAGATGCCAGAGGGTGTTTTGGAGCAACTTTACTGGGATCCTGCTCACGCTCCATCCCCTCTGCCATCAATGATTCCCATTTTTAAGGCTGCCCCATCATTAAAGCTTGAGAAAGGAGAGAGGACAAGCTGACTGATGGAGGAAAGCGGTGGGGAGGGGGTGGCATTGCCTGTTTTTTTGATGCGTTGCTGCCTTCCTCCCACAGAGGCCTCGTGATTGCGATGGTGGCCAGCTTCATCTTCATTGTCCTGCTCCGCTTCCTGGCCGGGATCATGGTCTGGGTGATGATCGTGATGGTGATCCTGGTGCTGGGCTATGGTGAGTGGGTGATTGGGACCTTCTCCCTGGCTTTCCCCATTTTCCCTTCCCTATTTTAAGTGGGCTTTGCACGAAGAAAGTTCGTACACAGCATCCTTCCAGGTGTCTTCTATCCGAACATCGGCATCGGTGGGGTTGAGCAGAGCCTGCCGGCATCTCACTCTCTGCTTTTCAGTGTAAATATGACAATTTTCTGCTTTTCACCACAGGAATCTTCCACTGTTACATGGAATATGCAAAACTAAAAGGGGAAGCGGGTTCTGATGTCTCCCTGAAGGACCTGGGATTTCAGACAGACCTACGCGTCTACCTCCACCTGCGGCAGACGTGGCTGGCATTCAGTAAGTCTCCGTCCTCCTCTGGATGCAGGATGGGACACGGTGGATGTGCCCCAGCCCCGGTCCCTTTGAGGAACAGGGCTTGGGAAGGGGAGAGCACGAAGATTTGGGGTCTTCTCAGTCTCTTCATGGCCCTTTGCAAAGAGCTGAGCTAAGGAAGGTGGCTTTTCTTGATGCCACCACTGCTACGGGCCTGAGCTTATGGCTGGGATGACCGGCCATGGGGTGGGTGCTGCTTTTCCAACATGAACCGGGGTGCTGGATGTCCCCTGAGGAGTGTTCGGTGCCGTGACGGATTTGCTTGGCAAGGCAAAGGTGGCCATCGGGCACCGTCCGTGCCCTCGCGCTACCTGGGGCTCCCCTTCTCCTCCCAGTGATCATCCTGTGCATCGTGGAGGTGGTGATCATACTGCTGCTCATCTTCCTCCGCAAGAGGATCCTCATTGCCATCGCGCTCATCAAGGAGGCGAGCAGGTCCGGGTGTCCCCTGTCCCCAGGCAGAGGTGGCCGTTGTCACCCGTCGCGGTGGGAGGACTTGGGGACGGCTGGGCTCCAGCCACTGAGGTCCTCCCGTTGCCACAAGGATTTTAACTGGGTCTTAACCATCTTCTCGGCAGAGCTGTTGGTCACATCATGATGTCGCTGCTCTTCCCATTGTGCACCTTCTTCCTGCTGTGTCTCTGCATCGCCTACTGGGCTAGCACCGCTGTGTATCCTTTCCTCCTCCTCTTCCCCTTCCCTGCGCCTCTGCTCCCCAGGAAGGAAGTTGCTCAGATGTCAAAGGTCTTCCAGGCCGCTGAACATCTCACAGGATTAGTGACACATACGTTTGCAAAACTGCCGGCTTAAGTCTCTAAGTTTAACTTAAAACAAAACCTAGCGTAGAAAAGCAATTGCAGGAGGCTGGTGAGAGCAAAACTGAGTTAGGATTCGGGTTTGGGGTTTGCAAAATCGTATCTCTCCTTAACCGTTGCTCTGCAGTTTCCTCTCCACCTCCAACGAGGCAATCTATAAGGTTTTTAACGAGTCTGCATGCCAGTTTTCCGGGCAGACCTGCAAGCCGGAGGTGAGGGCGTTGGGAAACTCATACGAATGCTATGCTTAATCTGTCAGAGATAACATTGTTTATTAGGTGAAAAATATTCTGGTGGCTATTCGAGCCTGCAAGCTCTTCCAGGTGAAATTCCGCCTTTCTAAACTCATTTACGTCATGTCGTTATTTTTTTCCAAGCTGGTGTGTGCACAAAGCTGACTTTTCGGTCTGAGCAAATGCTACTGAAAAATTAAGCAGGACTTAATTAAAAATTAAGAAGACTTTCAGTCTTCTGAAAGTCGAGATTGCTTTGGGTTGACCAAAAGATGCCATCGGTCTGCCCTGTGGCACGTCTCCGGCCACCGCAGTGCATAAGCATCTGCTGTCCTCTCTAGACCTTCAACACAAGCAACGTCACCAAGCTGTGCCCTGACGCCCAGTGCCTCTTCGCATTCTACGGGGGCGAGACAGCATACCACAAGTATCTCATCGTCCTTCAGTTCTTCAATGTCTTCATGTTCTTCTGGCTCGCCAACTTCGTGATCGCACTGGGCCAGGTGACGCTGGCAGGGGCCTTTGCGTCGTACTACTGGGCCTTCAAGAAACCCGATGACATGCCCGCCTTCCCCCTCTTCTCCGCCTTTGGCCGTGCGCTCCGGTATGTCCCTCTTGAGGAGGACTTGCGAGCTTCTTGAGGTTGTCCCCTTATAACTGGAGCAATCTTTCCCAGGTACCACACCGGCTCGCTTGCCTTTGGCTCTCTGATCCTCGCCATCGTCCAAGTCATCAGGGTCACACTGGAGTATCTGGACCACAGGTTAAAAGGTACCGAAGCTGGAATGGCACATGAGTAGATGAATTAGGTTGGCTGCTTCTGCTTTCCTTGGTGCCAGAGCTCGTGGCTAACATCAAGGGGAATAATTTCAGTATTTCGGTAGAGAATTGAGATTTTCCTTTTGGGATCCTGTAGCCATCTCTCTTTACCCAAGAGATGTTTCACAGGGCAGGAGGCGAGGGATGTGCCACGGCTGCCGTGCTAAGTCAACCAGTCCTGGGTGTCTGTACGGGTTCCAGGGAAGTCTGTGTCTGGCCGTGTGACTCCATTGATCATGAAATGTAAACAGCGAGCAGAAGCGTGGGAAGAGCACGCGAGGCTCATCCTGCTGTCTGCAGCAGTGTTGGCCTCCCAGGGAGGCTGAAAAGAGGGTGTAGAGGTGGGGGGAGCCTGTGACAGGGCAGTGGGACGTCTCGTTGGGACCTTGAAGCTGCTTCTGTAAGGAAAGGCGTCTCTCTGTTTGGCTGCTCACTGAGCTGAAATGCTCTCCCGTGGCATTTCTCCAGCTGCAGATAATAAGTTTGCCAAGTTCCTCCTGAGCTGCCTCAAGTGCTGCTTCTGGTGCCTGGAAAAATTCATCAAATTCCTCAATAGAAACGCATACATCATGGTAAGAGTCTCCCAACATTAACACCCAAAGGGTCATGACTACAGTGGGGTCATCTCAGGACTCTTGGCGATTTCTTTCGGTGGCTGTTGAGAACCATGTCTCCCAACGTCATGGGAAAACGAGGCTTTTCAGCATTTCCCAGCTGTTTCACTGGAAAGCCTTGACTTCAGCCGTGTTGCTTTGAATTTGGGAGGGACCTTCTCAGAGTCACCGGGGTGTGGAGATTTAGCTCTCGGTGTCTGCGATGCCTGACCTGTCAGTGGATGACAAACGCACTTCCAGGGTGGGATTTATCCGAGTTTTACTCAAAGATGGGATTAATTGCACCCTCTTCTTAGTGGTGAATTCAGTGCGGCTCCATTTCTCTCTTCTCTGCCTCTTTTTTCTGGGACCCACCCTAGATCGCCGTCTATGGCACCAATTTCTGCACCTCCGCCAGGAACGCATTCTTCCTGCTGATGAGGAACATCATTAGGTGAGATCCTGGTGGGTGCGAGGGCTCTGCTCTGGACAGCAGGCTTGGTTATTTCCAAGTCCTTCTCGCTGCCAAAGATCAACCCTGATCTGCCTGCCTTGTTTTCAGGCTTTCACAGTGGTTTATGCCATGTTTGCAACGGGTGTGCAAGTTGGCCGCCTCCTCCCATGCTTCCTTCTGAATTTGGGGTGGGGAGCAGATGCTCATCTCTCTCTTGTTTGCAGGGTGGCCGTTTTAGATAAAGTCACGGATTTCCTCTTCTTCCTCGGTAAACTCCTCATCGTGGGAAGCGTCGGTAAGTGCTGGGGAGTGGAAGTTTCTCCTCGGGCTGTATGGCTGCTGTAGGCTTTCATAGCCAGTTACACCTTCGCGAAACCTCCGCTCTCTTCACCCCTCCTGTGAGACTGTTCCTTTCCCTCCTGTTTTACATCTCCTTCCCACCACCTGTTTGCTGTCTTTCTTCTGCCCGGCATCCCACAGCGATTTTCATCGTTTGCTTTTCCAGGAATCCTTGCCTTCTTTTTCTTCACCCAGCGGATAAAGCTCGTCCAAGACACAGCGCCACCCCTAAATTACTACTGGGTCCCTATTCTGGTGAGCCCCTTTCTCGTCTTTTTGGGGAATTTAGAAGCGATGGAAAGAGATTCTTAACACAAATGCCTTAAAAACACCCCTCCGCTCACTGCTTCTGAAAGACCTTCTTTGTTGAAGGTGTTTTCTCTGTCCCCGTCGAAATAAGCCCTTTGTTTCAGCCAGCCACGAAGAGGCGTCTTGCCCTTCCCGTGCTGCCCAGATTGGCCTCCATCCACCGTTGTCGCTGAGGCCTTTTGTCCTGAAGCGGGCTGGTCTGAACAGTCCTGCCCTGTTCGCTCCTCCTCCTTTCCTTGGGGAATTCAGGGGATTCAGCAGGTTTCCTCCTCCCGGATGAGGGGTTTTGTGGTCTTTGCAAGATGTCAGGTCGTGGCATGACCACACAATTTCTCTTTCAGACGGTGATCGTGGGCTCCTACCTCATTGCCCACGGGTTCTTCAGCGTGTACGGCATGTGCGTGGACACCCTCTTCCTCTGCTTCTGTAAGTGTCTGGCTCAGAGTGTCCGTCTTCGGCTGGGCAGGAGTTCGTGGTAGTAAAACCTCCCTCCCTTTGGGGCTGAACCCCGGAGTTGTCCAGATTTGGGGTTTGCTCCAAATTCCCGTGGCCTCTCTGTGTGGTTTTTCTCCCGCTTTTTCCTTTACCGTCTCCTACCTGCGTTCTTACCAGCATCTGCTTCCCCCCTGCCTGCTAGCAGTGGAAACCCAGAGCCTGTCCTTGGGTCTCCTGCGGTCTCTCTTGATCTTTCTGTTTTGGTGCTTTGGTCTTGGTGGAACCTAACTGCAACTAACTTCAATTTTCCTTTTTTTTTCCCCCCTCTTTTTTTCCTTTTTTTTTCCTTCCCCTCTCGCCCTCGTGTCTCTCTTCACATGTTCTCCATCCTTCATCTCTGCTCTGCCTCTCCCTGGCTCTTCTGCTATTTTTTACTCTTCCCCATCACGGCCGCTTCTTCCTGGGGTTGTGAAAAGGTGAAGATCTGGAGAGGAACGATGGATCTCCCGAGAGGCCTTACTACATGTCCCCCGAGCTGAGTGAGATCCTGCTGAAGGGGAACCTAGAGCCTTCCAAAAGCGCCGATAGCCAAGGCTAGGGGCTGGCCCCGGGAGGAAGGCTGCGTGCCTGGGGGGGCTGCAGGATGCTCTCGGCCCCCCAACCCAAGCAGCATTCTCCTAAGCCTGCGGGTGGCAGCCACGGTGCAAATCTTTCCCCTGGATGTCCTTCAAAGCCTTGAGGGTAGAGGGGGTGCCGATTCCTCAGTGCCCGATGCTGTATCAAATCTACCTTCCTGCCCAATAATGAATATTCTTGTATCGAGAGAACGAACCTAGAGTGTCACCTAGAGTTAATCTGGGGTCCCATGTGTCCCGGTAGCGCCCGGCGAGGAGCGCTCCGCTCTAGTGAGCGGCTGGGAACCGGCTGGACGCACACGGGTGCCGATTATAGTTGTGTTTCGCGTTGGAGCAGAGATCTTTGTTCCTAACTGCCAGCCGTGAAAAGGATGGGAGAGCCCCTCTGCTCGCAGGAGGTACCTTGTATTGCAGGGCTGTGGTTTGTAGGACGGGCTGAGTGGGTTCTACAGCCTGAAAACTGGTCTCTCTGCGCTTTCCTCTTTGTTCTGCCCCCAGCAAAGAGCAACGAGCCTCTTTCCTCGCCCACTCTTTCTATGCAAAACCAGGTTGGCGCACTTAAAAAGACTTCTTTGTGAGATTGCAGATCTTTTGCTTTTAAGTCTGTTGCATCAGCCGGGCCTTCCTCACAAAACAGAGCTTGCCCTTTTCACAGCCAAAAACTCCGTTTCCTCGCGCTGCCGGTTTAGGGAAGCCGAAAAGAGCCATCGCCGGTTGCAAGCCGTTAAAACTCAGAGGGCTTTTACTCGCAGCATCCCTCATTTAAAATGGTTTCTCTTGCTGGTTGCACAGAGGTTTAATGGCTGCAGGGAGGTGGTGGCTCGTCCTGGGAGCTGCCTGATGGGCTCTGCTTTTTCCCTGCCCTGAGGTGGTTGAGTTGATGGTTTGGCTTCTGCCTGGTCCGGGCTCCTACAGGGCGGAGGAGCTGGGGGGCTGCAAAGACTTTTCCACGCTAACGCAGAGTGTAGGTGGAGACGCTTGCCAAGGCGTGCAGGCTGGGGTGGTTGTGGGAAGGAAGATGGAGCCCGCATGGAAGGCGAGTTCCCAGGCTGGCTCCGGCAACTCTGAATTGCCGAGGGACCGTCAAGGGAAGGCGATGTCTGGAGGAGCGGTGTGAGCACCTCTGACGGGCTGGAAGGCTGCGGGGAGATAGTGCGTTGCGCTGGCAGGTGTTACACTGGGAACGTATTGCGGCATCTCCACAGCTAGAGAAATCAGACCAAAAAAATCATAAGTTTGATTGGGAGGCAGCTGGTGAGGGTTACGGCCCCTAAAGAAACGGCAGCCAGACACAGGCTGGATCCTCACCTTGTTTTCTCCTCTTGATAGTCCAGAAACGATCAAGATTTTAAAAAATGCCATTCTGGCGGCACACAGCCCGGGTAGCTGTGGCCAGATCTCCTATTACAAATCCTCACGCAGACAGAGAGGCCCGTCTTTTGAGTCGTGCCCTCTTAGGACAAAGCTGTAGTGTTAACGCTTGTATTTTCATTACAGAGAAACACTGAAATCCCTCTCAAAATATCCCAAGGCGCTTTCAGTCGACTCTGAAGCTGGTGCTTTGTGGGTTTGTTTGGTTTTGGTGGGTTTTTTTTGGTGGCTGTGATTTTCCTACCACTTCTTGCTGGCGCAGCTGCTTTGCTTTGAACAGTGAGAGGCCGAGCAGCGTGTTCGGTGCTGGGAATACACCTAACGATTATGTATGCATGGCGTGTTGACAAGGGCGTCGCGCACCCGGCGAGCAGCGCCAAGCGAATACCGAGCGAAATTGCTTTGCACTCGCGTCATGAGCCATTTCGGCTGCACAAAGAGCAGGGAGAGCCGCGCTGCCTGGCTCTGTAGAGGAGGGGAACCGCGCTCCAGGCCAGCAGAGCTCGAGTGGCGTGCCGAGGAGACTGCTTTTCCTATGGCACTGTTAAACTTTCCCACTGCCCCCCTGAAAAAAAAAACAAACCAACACCCAAAGCTCTGCTTTCTTCTAAATAATAGCGGCCCGTTTTCAGGGCGTGATGCTCCCCGTAAAATGGGAGAGGTGCTGCTGCGGTGGTTTGTACAGCTGGGGGTATTTAGCTGTGACACAGGGACAAAATACCCCCTGCCCGCGATGAGCCGAAAGACTTTTATTTCTGTCAAAGATGATTATTAGATGAGCAGGATGGCTGCTCCTCTGGCATCTCTCTGCCTTTAGGCTCCTTGCTGCATCTGCTGTGACTCCTGCCACGCCAACCTGTGTGTCTGTCCCCCCGGCACTGCTGTGCGGGGCTGGGGGGGGGTTCTCTTTGCAGTGGAGGACCTGGAGCGCAACGACGGTTCGGCCGAAAAGCCTTATTTTATGTCACCCGACCTGAAAAAGCTCCTGAAGAAGACAAACAAAGGTCAGCCTGACGCCTAGAGCTTGCCTTCATCCTTTCCGTGCTTCCTCTTCCTGTTCCCGCTTCGGGAGCAGAGCTGCAGGATAATGCCCAGCACTCAGCATCGTTTGTCCCACCTGGAAATCTTGTTAATGAAGCTCGAACCGCCATCTCCTTTACCCCTGTGGTGGGCAAGCAGCAGAAGCAGGGTTCATTAAAGAGCAGAATGGGTTATTGTTAATGATTCAACCTTAAATCGTCAGGGCTGCTAAACGAAGACCGCTCTAGCGTGTCTGCTTCCGCAGAACTCATCACAGCTAACATCCCGTTGGTCCCCAGCCAGCTCAAATACTGAGCTGGGGAGTTCCCGGCCAAATCCTGCCGGCGCAGGTGCCGATAAAAGCAGCACAGAAATGTCTCTGATGCAGGGCAAAGTTCCGTCTTCCAGGGTGTTGACCGACACCGAAGTGAGTTTAATTGGGTTTAGTAATTTTATTTTATACCGGTCAAAAAAAGATGATGCTACCTTCAGGTCAGCTGTGTTTGGCTGTCCCTTAGCGCCCAGGTAAATCCAGGCGCTGCAGTGACCAGTGAACAAGCTGATGGCTTTAAGCAGCTCCTCGACTTGGTTTTTATTTGCAGCCCCCCCCCCCCCCCAATATTTAATTGCAGTAGTTGATTCCTACCCAGAGAGCTGAAACATGCTGAAATCACCTTGCTTCTCTCGCCACCCTTTGGAGACGCCTTAGGGCCCTGCTTTGGGGTTGTGCTGGGCACGTTTAGACAATTAATTCTCTTAGGAATATGCCAATTAGTGTTCTTGTAGCCACCTGCGAAGGGTGAAGGTGGAGGGAAATGAAGGGTTAATGAGCAGGACTTGGGCATTAGGGCGCTGTGCTGGGTATCCCACTGAACCAGGGGTTTGTGTTTGGATACAGCCTGGGACGGACGGATGGACGGACGCTCTGTACAGTTATTGCATCTTTCTAGGACTGATGGCTTCTACCGATTCCTTCCCCAAAAATCCTGCATTATATATTTAAAAAAAAAATTTACAGTAAAGCCTTCCCTAACTGTTGAACAAAATGCTTTGCCTGTGTGACAAATTTGGGAAGACCCCACCTGCGGGCATGGTGAAGGAGTAATGTATATATACATATAAATATATATAGATATATATTTTTTTTTTTAGCTTAACATTAGGTAATTTTAAGCAAACCAAATGACAAACAACAGGTTGCCTTATGTCCTTTAGATGCCATGGCAGCATCTGGACTTGTAGCTGACTGCTGTTTCTAGTGGGAAGGTCCAGACCTTTGGCAGCTCCTGTCAGGAGAAAAAAGGGAAGGTTTTTGAAAAATAGATTGAAGGGGGTTAAATGTCACTAAACCACAGATATTAAACTTAAATTTTAACAAATTTAAAACACCTCCTCCGATACGCACAGCTGCCGAAATGTCCTTTGAGCAAAAGGAGGCTCACCCAGGTATAGTCACCACCACAAATTGTACCTTTTTGTGGTTTAATTTGTTTAAAAATAAATGCACTCAGGCTTTGGTGGACAATTTAACAGCTCCCAAAGCATGGGGTGGGGGGGGCAGCAACAGCAGGAGGCTTGTGGGGTCACAGGCACCTCCCTGCCTTAAAAAATGCAAACGTTTGCTTAGCCACATTTAATTTGTGCTGAAGGATATATTTTGCTTCTTTTATACATATTTCTTAGTAATCTTTAGATCCGGGTAGTATTTTTGTAAGATACAAGGAGTGTTTTCTATCTGAATTATTAAATGGTTTGGGGGTTTTGTATATTTTGCTTTTACTAGTTGTTTCAGTTCTGTAGCCGTTATTTTGATCTCTTCCAGTACTATTTTTGTGACAGATTTTGAAATATCTGCCTGGCAGCACACTGAGATGTAACTGCCCTGGCCCGGGGCGGCGCAGCACCGCTGACGTCTCCCTAAGCTGATCGCAGGTGTAGATCTACGCTTGCTGGAATCAAACGCCATCGTTTCTCTAAAGCGCCTTTTTCCTCGCATCACGATGTAGCTGATCCAATGCGCGGGGGGGGGGAGCTAAAAAGAAAAGGCAAAGGTAGAGGTAAAGCTAAAAAGAGGAGAATCCTCTCGGTTTGGGGCAGGGGGGAATAACTAAGGGAATAATTACGGGAATATATTCAGTTTACAGCTATATGAGCACCTACGAGAAAATATTTTCTGCAGCCTGATGCTGGTCCTGAATTTTTTTTTTTTTCCTCTCTCATCCTTGTGTAGGTTTTGAGGTGGTTTGTTTTATTTCCTGTTTGAAAGTCGCTCCTCGACTTTAGCTGTTCTCTTTTTGTATCGAGACACCTTGGTTGTGGAAATGCTGTCCAAAATAGCAGAGGACCATCAGTAACTTGATTTATTTGCATAAACAGCCAATATACAGTAGAGATTTTTAGGTCTGGAAATACAAATGTTGAAGTAGAGAATAAATTTAGCAAAATGTGTTCTTTGGGCCGTGGGGCTGGCTCTGCTGCGTTCTGTAAACTCAGTATTTGAGGAGTGGAATTAGGGATTCCCATTTCCAATAAGCCAAAGCAGCAGCCAGCTTTTCAAAGCTGAAAACTACACGTGCTGTGCTCACCGAGAGCTTCAGAAAGCAGAGGGGCAAATCTTCCAGTAAATGAGGAGGTTTTGGAAAAAAACAGAGCCACTCGGGTGAGGGCAGCTGTCCAGCGGGATTTTCGTGTCCAGAAAGGCTTCACTCTGTGACTTGGGTTATTTGTATCTGCAAGCGTGGAGTGATCCGTGCACTTGGAGCATGTCTCCCGCGTAAAGCTGTGTATTTAAAGGCATTAATTTGTCTGTCTTTGGGAATAATCGCGCCCTTTTCAGTACTGAAATGCAACTTTTGTCCCTATAAACTGCGCATGCTCCGAATCCATTCCCTGAATCGGGCCAGGGCAAGTAAAAAAAAGTAAAAAAAAAAAAAAAAAAAAAAAAAAAAGCTAAAAACTGCAGGGTTGATGTTCTGCAAAACAAATCCCTTCTTTTTTAATGTATTTCTGAGGCATTAACTACCGCTACTATGCACCGGGGCTCCTATGCAAGGACGCACCTCTGGCGGGAGCATCTGCGCGCGTTCCTGATGTTGTGTGTGACGGTTCCATTGATGTCAGCGTTGCAACCACAAATAAAAGTGCCTGTTTGGACCTTGCTTCCGCCGCACGCTTCCTTCTGACCTCACGGGGCTCTGACATCACGGCAAAGCCTTTACCAAATTCTCTGCAGCCCTTCAGAGAGGCGTTGGGAGTGGAGGGAACCTCCGGGGTGCTGCTGGTCCAACCGTGCTCGTTAGTTCCTCTTCGTTGTGGCTTCTGCTCGTCTCCGCAGTGTTTTTCTGCCCGGCAGCACAGAACAGCTGGAGAAAAAGCAGAGCGTGACAGCGCGTGTGACTGATACAGCTGGCTTTCGCCCCAAAAACGGGCCGTTACAGCTTGCTTCAGCGCACACCTTAACGCTCCGCTTCCTATTTTCAGAGTTTGGGGCTTCGCTGCCTTGGGTTTTTTGACTAATTACGAGGTATTGTCAAATAATCCTTGACCCACAGAAGATGGCCATCTCCAGCAGAGGTTTAACAGGCTTTTTTTTTAAGGAGCAAGCATTCATTTGGACACTTATGATCATTTAAGTTCATACCTGAGTTCAACAAAAGCAGAAGACATCTCTGAGATCGTTCCCTTTCTATGTTACGGTGGGAGAAGGAACTTGCCCCCGAGACCAGGGGGCCTCATCCTGCACCCGAAAGCTCTGGGAGCTTGATGCCAGGTTAGTTAGTACGGGCCGAGGTTGTTCATCTCTTCCCGGTCCCTCCAGCTGCCACGACCATTACCGCTCTAACAAGTTGTGGCTGTGGCTGGGTGGCACCCTCTGCCGCCACACCAACACATCGCAGGCGGCTGCTCCACAGAAGGTGACAGACACCCATCGATGTCCCCTGCGCCTATAGGACTCATGCCCTGCTATAGATCAACCCTATATTGCAGCGACTCCTGTCTTTCTATGTGGGACAGTGAGCTCTTGGCCGAACCCTGCTCTTGGTTGCCCCGAGATTCACAGCCCTGGGGCCGGGATGTCAGTGGACGTCGGCACAAATCCAAGCGGCAGCCCTTCCCCGTCCCGAAAGGCTCACCTCCATGGTGGGCAGCTGGCCCACTGCCCCCTCCGAGGCCTCAGGGCCCCAAGGGTGGGCAGCCCTGCGCTCAGCCCCTCAGGGGCTGCCCTCCCCTGCACCCCAGGACCCTTTGTGCCCCACATTCTCCTCAGGCCACCAGTCCCCACAAGTCACTGGTCCCTTCAGGGTGGTCCCCTCAGGCCACCAGCCCCCTCAGACTGGTCTCCTCACGGCTGTCTGTGGTCCCCTCAGGCTGGTCCCCACGGGCCACTGTTCCCCTCAGGCTGGTCCCCACGGGCCACTGTTCCCCACAAGTCACTGGTCCCTTCAGGGTGGTCCCCTCAGGCCACCAGCCCCCTCAGACTGGTCTCCTCACGGCTGTCTGTGGTCCCCTCAGGCCACTGGTCCCCTCAGCCTACCAGCCCCCTCGGACTGATTCCCACAGGCCACTGGTCCCCTCAGGCCACTGGTTCCCACAGGCTACTGGTCCCCTCAGCCCCTTCAGCCCACCAGCCCCCTCAGACTGGTCCCCACGGGCCACTGTTCCCCTCAGGCCACTGGTCCCCTCAGCCTACCAGCCCCCTC